TCCCTAAGTGTTCATTACTAAACATTCGGTTGACCTACTGATTGGAGAATTGGAAAAAGTACATAAAGATTTAGGTTGATTTTCGATTTAAAAAAAATGTTCTTAATTAAGGTGTATTTAGCTTAGGTGGAAAACTAGATTGTTTATTGGGTCATGCCTCATACAACTAGATTTAAAAGTAGCAAATACAAAGTGTGGGGTTGTTGGAAAAATAAACTCACAAGTTGGAGAGCAATAACACACGGGTAAATATACAAAGCAAGAGGTTTCAAATTGCATTTTGGCAAATAACTCAACTCAGTACTCTTAGGCTGAAGCCAACATTGCAAGTTCTTTCCTTACACTCTCTTCCATATAGGAAGACTTGGACAGGTCCAATCATAGATTCCAACATGGTACAAGGAAACATTGATGATACAAGGAAACACCCTCTTGCAGAAAGCCCAATAACGAGGGAAAAAAAAGATCTTGTTAATTTGTTGCATAAAATTTAGTCTGTCTTGTGAATAGGTGGAACTGGAAGTTATCTACTTGGGATGAGCCCATACATTGCTTCTCAAGTTACTGAGGGCAACACACCAATCAATACAAAGAAACTCTCCCTTGGTTGGATGTTTGGTTTTCTCTTTGTTGTTAGCTTTGTGGGTCTCTTTTCCATTGTGCCTCTAAGAAAGGTTGGTAGAAACAAACCAAAAAATAATTGTGCAACTGACCCTTCTCATATGTAAATTTGATTACAGTTTAATGAACTTAAAGTTTCAATTGGCATTTCACAGCTGATGATTTTGAAGTACAAACTAACATACCCGAGTGGAACTGCCACGGCACTTCTTGTCAATAGCTTACACACACCCAAAGGAGCAAAGCTAGCAAAGTAAGTACCAGTGCAATTAATTTGCATAAACGGATAGTACGTACACCACGATAAACTGTTTTTGCATGTTTGTGATAAACTTCACCTTATCATTACTTTGAAAACAGAAAACAGGTTGCTTTGCTCTTCAAAAGCTTTTGTGGAAGCTTTACATTTGCTTTTTTCCAGTGGTTTGTCACTGCAGGAGATGGTTGTGGGTTCAGCACTTTCCCCACTTTTGGTATCCAGGCTTACAGTAAAAGGTATGCATATACATCTTACATCCTAATGTGTCTTATCTTCTGTAATTTAAGATTGTTCGGCATGTGATTAGAAATTAATTTCAATAAGATTATATATATTTCTCTAAGTTGACATTATAAAATCTTTTACAATAATAATGCATCAAATTTAAACTCTTACTAAATACATTTCTCAAAACCAACTATCTTTAGAAGGGTCTCTCCTTTTAATCAAGTTTCTTCCATTCAACTTGAACTCGAAAACTTGTCCAGTTCCAATTAATCAAAACAACAACTATTTGGTTGTTTCTGCAGTATTTAATTGATAAAGACAATAATCTGACTACAAAATTTACAGGTTCTACTTTGATTTCTCATCTACCTATGTTGGAGTTGGAATGATTTGCCCCTACTTGATCAATGTATCTTTGCTTCTCGGAGCTATAATTTCATGGGGTATTCTATGGCCCTGGATTGAGCAGAAGAAAGGAATCTGGTATAGCGCAGAGCTACCTGCTAGCAGTCTAAGTGGCCTCCAAGGATATAGGGTACACATATATCCACTTAGCAACACGTATTGTTCATAATCTGTATGCATGTTTAAAATTTGTTTACTGTTTGAATATAAGTTAAAAATATGTTTGAGAGTGTGTTTACTAAAAATAATATTTTCTAATAAAGAAACTGTGAAAAGTACTTCTAAATTTGTATCAACAGACATTATTTCAAATTGTAGAACATTACTAATTGTAAAAAAAATCTATGAACAGGTCTTCACAGCAATAGCTATGATGCTTGGTGACGGTCTTTACCATTGCATCAGCATGCTATTACGAGTTGCCTATAGTCTTGCCTCCCAATATGTTAAGTCAAAAGGGTCATCATCCTCTGTAAAGCCTGAAGATGTTGATCAAAACTCAAGTGATGATAACGTCGACACTCAACGTCGAACCGAGTATTTCTTGAAAGATGAGATACCCTCTTGGGTTGCAATCACTGGCTACATTATCCTTGCAGTTATTTCCATCATAACCGTGTCACAAATCTTTCCTCAACTGAAATGGTACCATGTACTCATATCTTACCTTATTGCTCCTGTCCTTGCCTTTTGTAATGCCTATGGATGTGGCCTCACTGATTGGTCTTTGGCATCAAACTATGGCAAAGTTGCCATCATTATATTCAGTTCATGGGTTGGCCTAGCCAACGGAGGCATAATTGCTGGCCTTGTATCATGTGGTGTCATGATGAGCATTGTTTCAACAGCTTCTGATTTGATGCAAGACTTCAAAACGGGGTATCTCACCCTTGCATCTCCTAGGTCCATGTTCATGAGCCAAGTTTTGGGGACAGCCACGGGTTGCTTTATGTCTCCTTTGATCTTTTGGTTCTTCCACAAGGCCTACACAATCGGTGACCCTCTAGGCTCTTACCCTGCACCCTATGGAGAAGTGTACCGTGGGATGGCCCTTATTGGAGCAAAGGGTTTCTCTTCTCTTCCCAAACACTGTCTTCAACTAGCCATCACGTTCTTTTGCTTGGCTGTGTTTATTAACATAGTGCATGATTTGTTGGTGCAATATGAGACCAAGTATAGGATACATAGGTTTGTTCCAAACCCCATGGCCGTGGCCATTCCATTCTATCTTGGTGGGTATTTTGCTATTGACATGTGTGTTGGGAGCTTGATATTGTTTTTATGGGAGAAAAAGAACAAACACAAAGCAAAGGATTATGCTCCTGCCTTGGCATCTGGACTCATATGTGGTGATTCTTTGTGGAGTGTTCCTGCTGCTATACTGTCTCTTGCTGGAGCCAACCCTCCAATTTGCATGAAGTTCTTATCTAGTGCTGTCAATAAGAAGGTTGACACCTTCTTGAGTGGTGGTTCTTGATGCTGCTTTCATTGGATGATGATGTTTGTTTGAAGTAAAGGGAAGTTCCAATATTGTGTATGGATTTCTTATTACATAATTTCTCTTTTATCAATAAAAATTATGGAAGATCAGATGAACCAGGAAAAGAAGACCAGATGAATAAAAATTATGGAGACTTGGGTTTGTAAATGTCCGTATTGCATTCTTTTCATTTTTTTTTTATGTATTATTTTTATTGTTTTAATTAATTTTTAATCTTTATAATTTTTTGAACTTTATTTTTTAGTTTGTATAATTAAAAATATTTTTTTTTTGTACATATGATTTTTATTTTTTTAATCTCTATAATTACATTATTTTTATTTTTATGTTTTTTTTATAAAAATAGATGAAAATGGAACTAAAATGATATTTATTATAAAGATTAAAATGGGATCTTTTTAGTTATAAAGACTAAAAAGTAAAGTTTATGAAATTTTAGGGACTAAGGGTTGGACAAACAATTTATTTAGAATCTTAATTAATAAGCTCTTATGTAATATAATGTTATAAGTGTTTAAAATTTAATAAGTTGGTGCATTTAGATATACATGTTAACAAGTATTTATATCATTTTAAAGTATTTAAATGTATCATTATTTAAGAATTTATAAGATATCATCTCATTTCAAAAATTAAAAAAATAATAATAATTTTGACTGGAAATAAAATATAAAAAAAATATTAAAAAAAACTAAATAATTTTTAAAAATAATATTATACATCACAATAATCTTAAAAAGGATAAAAAAAAAGTTACTAGTCACCATTCAATTGATTTTAGTTTATAAAAAATGAAATTAATTATAAAATATAAAAAATTAATTATATATAATCATGAAAAAAAATTAAGAGTCATAAATTTTAAAATTAACAATCATTTATTTACATTTTTATAAAATAATGATTTAAAAAATTATTGTATAAATATCGAAAACAAAATTATTTCAAATATTTTATTTTAGAGAAAATAAAATTAAAAGGTTTTATTTAATAATAAGAGAATGTAGATTTTGGGAGAAAAATATAGAAAAAAAATTAAAGAAGAGAAAATAATAAAGAAAAAAAACTTTTAGAGAGAAAAATAATATTTGAAAATTACAAATCCTAGAAATCATGATTTTAGGAAATAAAAATATGTTTGGTTACTCATAAAAGTTTATGGGAATATTCATACATATTATTGGAATTAAAAATTTTCATGTTTGATTACAATAGTATATTCCTGAGTTTATACTTGAGAATAATTAAAATATATTTCGTTACTCATAAAAGTTCCTATAAATATTCATACATGATTCCCAAAAATTAAAGACTTTTATGTTTGGTTACAATAGTATGTTGCTAGGTTTATAAATATTTTTTACAAAAATATCCTTTATTAAAATAAACTCATTATATATATATATATATATATATATATATATATACTTAAATCTTATTAATAATATGATATTAAACTATTTTAAATAGTTGAAACCTTATTAAAATTATTAAATACATAATTCAACAAAAAAAAATAGAAAATAAAAATGCTACATTATAATTAAGAAGAATAAAAATATATTATTTTATTTCATTCAAATAAAAAATAAAAAATAAAATAAAAAGTGTTAACAAACACCATTAAAATATATAAAAAAATAAATTTTAATAATATTATTAAAATTGACAAGATCAATAAATAATGAGATACAAGAGAAAGAAATAGAGATATAAGATCGAGAGAGGGGGAGTGAGAGAGAGCAAAAGAGAGAAATGGAAAAAGAGAAAGAGAAGAAGAGAGAGAAAGACAAAGAAAGAAGGGAAAGGGAGAGAGGAAAAGAGAGGGGGAGTGAGAGTGTGAGAAAGAGAAAGAGAGGGCAAAAGAGAAATAGAAGGAGAGAGATTTTTTTTTTAAAAAAAAGATATTGTTTTCTATTTATATACATAAAACATTTTTCCTTACTAAGGAAAGTTGGATTGTCACCTTCAATGGGAATGTTCTTGTGAAAAAGTGGAATAAAAATGGTTCTCAAGAAATTATATTCCTAGAAATCTTTTTTTTTTTTTAAGAAATAGCTATCAAACATTGAAAATTAAGATTCTCAATTTAAGATTTTTAGGAATATAAAAATATTTTACGGATCAAATGCCTCGTAAAAAGTAAAAAGATTTCAAGTATCAAATGCTCCCTAGAGTGAGTTTTTTTTAAATAAAAAAAGTAATTTTTAAGTTATATAACCTTGAAAAATTATAAATTATTAATTATAAAATAATTTTTTGAACAGGGCCTAAAGTAAGGACTTGGATTGATTACGGGTTGGGCTAACCCTAAATGTCACTCAACCCCATCATTGTTGTCACTTGGTTGCTTCTTTCATGATTGCCTCCTCCCCAAGGGTTGTGATGCCCCCATCATGTTCTCCTCCATTACCTTCACCTTTACCGGCATCAACCTCTCCCTCTTAGACTCCTTTTCCCCAACACCATCTCTTACATCAACATCCTCTTCTTTGCCACTCGCGACCTACTCACAATGCTTGGCAACCCATGAGAATCATGGAATAGAGAGACTTCATGTTTGTAGATGGCGATTGTTAACTACAGTAATCAATTTCTATTTTTCCTCATTTGATAACACATTTATGATATTTTCTCTACAATTATTTCTTTCTATTTCCAATCTCACTGCAATTGGTGTAGGTTGGTTATTTGCTAGCACAAGTATTTATCAATCTCTGTATATGGTTTATTGGTTATTTGCCAGCACGAGTATTTCATCATTCTTTAAATATTTTATTTGGATAAGTCAATTCAAATTTCTTAAATTTTAAGTTCTTACTTTGAATATGATGATTTAATTTTCATCATGGGTAAAATTATATATATATATATATATATATATATATATATATATATATAGAGTTTA